GTTGTCCATTTCACCTAATGCATATAGATAGAATGGTAAATATGAATGTTTTCCCTTCATTCATTCTCAGTTCTCTTATGACTCTTAAAACAAGATGAACTTGCTGGTAACTAGTTTTAGAGACACAAAGAGGGCTGGGAATGGTAGATCAGCAGAAGCATGGGTGCTTACCATGTGTGAGGTAACAAACTAAAACAAAAACACCATAGAGACACTACATATATTGATCGTGATACAGGACCCCTTCCTCCCACTCCAATAATAGAGTAAACTTAATACTTTATCTAGTATATGATGAAGCTTTGAATTCATCAAGATATGGATTACTATGCCCATCTCAGTAGAGACAAAGTTTTCAAGGAAAATTCTGACTATATTCATCTCTTCCCTAAGCACTGACTTTAGAATATAACTTGCTCTTAGATACACCTCTATCTTTAAGGACTGAGATCTTAAGCAGTTTAAGAAATCCCAGGGTGGTAAATACTGGATTTGCAAGGAAGCTTTGCTTTTTACACTTGCCTTTTTTCTTTGAACTTTCTTTTTTAGCAACCTATTAGTTCAGTCACATTAAGAAAGTAAATTTTGCTCGACTGTGTCATGCTATTGTTATTATCCCTAATGATAACTTCTTTACCCCCCCACCCCCACTAAGGAGCCTCAGAATTAGAATGCTGAAGTGCCAAAGAAATAAAGATACATGACTATTGGATTCACTATAAAGGATTCACTTTTTTGTCCCAGATCTAGCAAGGAAAGGGCAGAGGCACAATCTTAGAAGTTTTAGAAGCTTCTTGCAGTCAGAAATGTATTAAGAATACATAAATGACTTCCAACAATGAATCAGGAAATCAGATTTTTCAACACATATACATACATATATTGCTCAAGAACAACCTGAAAATGTGCAGTGGGCTTTTTGAAATAATAGAACTTAAGGCAAAACAGTGTATAAATATTGGAAACATGATGCATGTCTCTATAAGGATATTTTTAGACAGTTGAAACCTTTTCATTTTGCTATTTTCATAAAGCATACTTATGTCTAAAAGAAGAAATTTAAATAAACTAGCTGAAGTGAATGGATTATTCTGAAAGAAAAAGGAGAGTTTAAAAAGCTGATTGTTTTCACTAGAGCTTCATTCATAAAAGCACACAATTACTGGAAGTACCCTTTGTTCTAACAAATTAACTCCTTGTGAGCATCATTCTTGAGTACTTTTATGGTTGAGTAAATGTTTAATATAGTGGTTACATACTTTCCCTTAACAATTTATTTATAAAATTGAATATTTGTGTAACCTGAAACCATTAGACTAGAAAAAGTCAACTGGGATAGAGATATACTATACCGAAACCTGTCATTTGGTGCCTGATAGAGAAATTCTAGTCCATTTCTTTTCAGGTGTGGATTAGAACTTCTGCTGGAACATTTGTGGAATTCAAAGATTGGATTGACAAAGACAAATGATTCATTTCTTTGTTATAGTCCTAGATCTAGCAAGGGAGCCATCAATCAGACTAGGTAAGGTTGAATTCTGATCCTCCTATTTCCTGGGGGACTACATTGGATGAACTTAAGGTCCCACACAACAGAAGCTCTGTATAATCTTTTCTTGAGTGTGGGGCTTGTGAATATGATGGGATATCACCCCCATGATTAGATTACCTATATGCAGAGAAAAGATTTCACAGATGTAGTTTAGGTTCCAAATGAACTACCTTCAAGTTAATCTCAAAGATTGTCCTGGGTGGGCCTGACCTAATCAGATAGATCTTTCACTGAAACTGGGCCATTCTTGAAAGAAGAGTTTTAAAGCAGGAACAGTCATGCTGTGAACTGCTTATGGCGGAGGACATAGAGCAAAGACTTGAGAATGGCCTCTAGAACTTCAGAGGTCCCCTCACCAGCAAGAATTCTACAACCTTAGTCCTATAGTCACCAGGGGACAAATTCTGCCAACAACTTGAAGGCACTTGAAAGTGGATCATTATCCATTTGAGCCTCCAGATACAGCCACCTGACACCTTGATTTCAGTCATGAGAACCCTAGCAGAGAATCCAGCCATGTAGTGCTGGATTCAACTCACAGAAACTGTGAGATAGTAAATTTGTGTTGTCTTAAGCTACTAAGTTTGTGGAATTTTGTTATATGGCAATAGAAAACTAATATATGTTCTGATTTTATTAAACACACAACTTTTTCAGGTCACTAGACTATGCTTTTGAGACAACTAATGACAATACACTGTTCAAGATGCCCTTCAATGGAGTGATAAATCAACCCCTTTAAGGGTTGATACTGCACATCAAAACACTCCATCAGAGTAAACATTAGCCCATGCATTGAAAACCTTTCTCCAAATAAGGTCTATCTATAGCTTAGAATACCAGGAAACTTACATTTCCAGCCAAAAGTCCTGAGGGGCTATTCTGTTGCTTGTTTCTCTAAGTATTTTATTTTCATTCACTTTTCTTCTCATACTGTTTAGTGAAGGTGAAGCTCTGTCAAATTCACCCATTCAACATTTTAACCAGTTACTCAAATGTGACAGCTCCAGGTGGTTACAGCAGATGAGCATTGCTCTTGGGAAACTAGTTCAACTCTTGGCTCTGAAATCGACTACTCTTGTAGTCCTTGCACCTTCTTGCACCCTCTTGTCCTTTGTTAAAAAACAGATCTTATAATGTATTCCCAGACTGCTAAGGGCAAAGGAGCATAAAAAAAAACTGTTAAAAGAATTTCAAGGATCACTCAAAATTTTCCTCTAGAGATTTCAAATCAATCAAATGAACATACATCTTGTCTTAAGGGCCAGGGAGATATCCCTCTATAGTCTTGCCAGTTAAGCCTATTCTCTTCAAATATTTTAACATGTGCAAAAGATGAGTTTTACTTCTTATGACAAGGGACAGGAGTGTGGCAGGGGAAGGTATGAGACTGGACATTTATTCAATAGGAGGACAAATGAAAATCCAGACATGAAAGATCAGATGTGATGATTTCATTGAGGTGCCAAAAAGGCAAGGCAGGACAGTTTGGCTGTGAATTAGGTAGGTCATTCAAGATCAAATGTGAAAAGTTTTAGGAAGCTGGAATATAAAGTGGTGGAGACAATACACCAGCCAAGCACAGTCAGTCTCAGTGGGCCAGTCTCAATGGATGCTCTACATTATTTCCTCATTCTCACATGTATCCTGTCAATTAGTCCTATAATTATTGCATTGGGTAGAGAGAAGAAACAGTCTGAAGCAGGTTGACTTTCCTAAGACACTCAGGGAGGAGGTAACAAGAGAGGGAACTTGAACTTAGGCAGTCTACCTCACTGCTCTCACTCCTAATTGCCAGTCTCAGGACAAATGAGAACATTTCCAGTCTGTCCCTTTGGGCCAGGGGGAGAGAGAAAGCCCTATGGTTCTGAGAGCCCATGATGTTCTGAGACCAGGAAACCTTGAGTTGGGAGTGAAAATGTAGAAGAGAGAGTTGAAGATTCCTACACTTAATTCTTTCCAGGCTGAAGATTTCCACAGAGGAGTTCCTGTTTCCTAGAAAATTGTCCTTTAAAAAGATCAGTCTCTCACTGTCTCAAGCTGGTATGGTATTTCTTGGTAGGTTAATGCTCTTTGTAGTTTTATTTTATAAGATGGAATGATGAACTTTTTATCATCCCCCCCCCCGCCTTAAAAAATCTCCACCTCTTTCAGAAAAGGTACCAGTTCTAATGCATTCTATTTTTATGGAGAGGTACTTCCTATTTGGATGGTTGTGCCTTCCAGTGGCTAGGGATCAACATCAACAACCCTTTCCACCAGCAGTTTGGGCTTCCCTGTGCCCCTCAACAACAATCCTGATTTTGGGAGCAATCAATGCCACACTGCCCATCATCCACGTGCCTGGCAGCCAGCAGGATGCCTCCTTAGCCTGTTTCCTACTTACTCTCATTAGGCAGGAAGGTGTGTGGATACTAGAACTGGGGAACAATGGGACAATCTGGATTCACTGAGTTCAATAATAAGAACCAAGTCATGACAGAGGGTCCACTGCTAAGCACTGCTTTGAAGAGCAGCCAAACTAGACACAGGGATGAGGAAAAACAAAACACACTAAAGGATAGGCTTACCTGCACGGGACTGTATCTTTGTAGGCCTGAAATGTTGTCCTTATAAAAATGCAAAGCAGATCCAAAAGGAATTATTATGATCTTTAAAAGGTCAGAGTGAGTTTGAACATTGATTTTCTTTAAGATGCTTTATCAATTAGAGACCAGAGTTTTTTTTTATTTCCTGATGATATTTATTTCATAAATGTAATTATTTTTCTAAAACATATTAAAATAGAAAACATGTTCTTTTGATCAATTTATACAAAGAAAATACCAATATAGTAATAAAAATACTGAAAATATATGAAAAGCACCTGAACATTAGAGAAATTACACTGGCAACAATTCTAGGAATATATTTTTTTGTAATTATACAATAAAGTGCTATTAAATCCAGTCAAAATTAGTGGCAAGATATAAAAACAGTTATGGTATTATTAAATTTGAGGCTAGGATTACCAGCAATTGCATTTTTAGGCTACTTGCAGATCAAGCTAATGATATCTCATTAATGTTTTCATGGAAAATTTATTAATTTCCATTCCCCAGTGAAAAAAAATTTAAATCTAAATGAAAGTCCTTGGTAATTTGGTCATAAACATGTAATGACATGATTAAAAACAAAATTATTGATTTGAGTTCCAAAAATAATCATGTGACTGTGATTAAATCCAAAGGAAGACAAAAGCTCAAATGTAAATATATATGATTAATCAAGACAAGTAAAAAAGTTTAGCTTCTTTGCTTTTATAGTCAATTTTCAGTAATTCTGCTTAGTCACATTTAATAGACACACAAACATTAACAAGATATATTAATTTCAACTGACTACATATCAAGCAAGGATATTTTAGTGAGTCAACATAATTTCCATATGAAACATTAAAGGGACACCGTTACGACAATACATTTCCAAACTTGGCTAATTGTTTCATTTAATCTGCCAAGGAACAGAAAAGCATACACAAATAATTTTGGAAATTATATTAAGGCCCAAATATACCATGTAAGGGGAAGCCATTGTGCACATACACAGGGAGAACTGTGCACAGTACTTAGGGTGGGCTGCAGTCCCTTTCACATCTGGAGGTGGCAAACTGAAACAGAAAAGCTCAAATTAAGACAAAGTATCACACCAGTGTCCTTTTAAGGTTTTATTTCCTATGCCAATTTTGAAGGAAATCTATTTATCATTCATCAAATCTCAGTTTTTCAACTTCTTCAAGATGAAAGCCAACAATACTACATTTCATAAAATAAATCTCCAAACATGGCTCAATCAAAATTCAAATTTATTTTACAAGCAGTCTATTTTTCTTTCATATAAAGTACACATGTGAACCAAAAGGTACTAAAACTGGTATATTAATGAGAAAGAAAACTAATTTCATTAGCTTCTGCTTCTGCAAGGTGTATCTCTTCATGAATTTAGGAACCACATTGGGTGGGTATTTCTATACCCATGGCAGAATAACAAGTCAGTCAATTAGTCCTGGTCTGAAGGTTTTACAGTCCATGATGAGTTATATTTTTTACTCTTTAAGAGAGCCGATACTTACACTTCTACATTTTTTTTTCTGTTCACCCTTATAGATACTCCAGTCTTTTGTAATTTTTTTTAAACTGGCTGATTTTAACAAGGAATATTTTGAACTACAAATTCATCAGAATGTTTAGCATCTTGAAAAACTAACTTTTCAAAAAGTGTTATCTAATGTCTTTCATTTAGAAGTGAGGGTGAAGACAGTGCAATTTGTGGTCCACAGAGACTCCTTTGCTCTGGAATGAGGGCGAAGATGGAAGAATAGAGGATCAGGCTTTCATAATAGATTAGGTGAAAAGTTTAATGTCCAGCCATAATGAACAACAACACGAAGTTGCATTGAGATGACTGGAAAGGGGGACTGATTGGAGAGACTTGCCTTCTGGGCATTACTATCAGAATTCAAAGAGCCAACCACACTTAGTTTTCCAAATTCTACTGAAATGAAATTGTTCATTAAAAAGTCCAGGATTAATAAAAGGCAGGCTGTTAAGGAACATTGAGAAACAAAGGCAAAGGTGGTTTGGCATTGAATAGGTTTACATTCCAAAAGAATATCATCTGGAAGTGCTTCTCAAAATTACAAAGTCATGATTACATAAATTACTTTGTTAAGTATGTTTTCTTTTTCAATATACATATTCTTTTATATACAGAGTATAGAAAAGCTAGTAAGTCGGCTCAGCTATAATAATTTTGTCATAAAAAAGCAGATTACATTTTTTGGCTGCAACAAAGCATGTTACTTATACTTTTAAGTTTAGCTAATGTATTTACATGATAAAACTTAAGCTTCGAAAGTATTTGAATCAAAAGGAAAAAATAAATTACATTTAAGCTATTAATTTACACAATGCATATACCTTTACTTACATTCCTAACTAGCTATACTCACTAATAATTTCTCCAGCATTTCTTTATTCGAACAATTTGTTTTCAAGACAGGTAAGTGCTGTACCCCTTTAAGTGCTGTATATTTCCTTTTAGGTAGCAGAGATGTGCAATACTTTTAGTAGCTTGGTCGAGTAGTTTGGGGTCTGTTACTTTTTCCAAATAACAGATGAAAAAGCCATGTTTTTGATCAGGCACCACCACTTTAACTGTACAATGAATAAAAGAAAGAGACAGCAAAAGCTAGCAAGAGCATTGTTAAGGCAAGTAACAGCTGTTGGAACCAGATACAGCGCTGAACTTGGTCTTCAAGCTTCCTATTGCTTTCTAGTAAACGATTGAGCTGAAGAGGAAAAAGATTTATATCAATAAAAACAGTCATTAATCATAAGAATGACAAATAGGAGTATTAGAAATTCAAACATTGAACAGGATGGGGCCCATCTATTCAGAAAGGCAGAGAGCTAGAAATCCAAGGAGGCTTTCGACTTCTTTGGTGGATAGATGTGTGTCTGATTACTCTTATTTCAAAAGGTACAATTTTCTAGTTGAGAGAGGAGCACAGCAATCACTTCCTGGAGGCACAGAAACCTTTGAGCTACTTAGAAATAGAGCACTTCTGTCTTGTCTGTTTTTTTCTTTTTTGCAGTGCTGGTTCAAATCCAGGGCTTTGGTTCAAATTTGGTGATAGGCAAGTGCTCTACCACTGAGCTACACCCCTAGTACCTTTCTGTCTCTTTCAAATATATGTGCTACTTGGAACCTTTTTCTGCAAGATGGAATTTTTGATAGTAAGCAAAGCACAAGATCTCTATTCCAAATTAAAATGGCCAGAGCTTTTTAAAGGCTAGATTTCCAAAAGTAACTCACCTCTTACCATTTCTAATTTGGCTTCTCTTCTCAAAGAAGAGAGCACTTTTGTTGCGTTTATGTCAAAGATTTTCCCTTCTGTCAGTGGAGAAAAGTGCATTTCTAATGCTGATTAGCATTAACAACTCGTTTTAGTTAGGAAGAAAGTATACTTACTTGTAGATATATATCTTCGCTGGTTTTATCTGACATGTTAAGAGCACTGTCTTTTAATGTAAGAGTGTTTGGTTTATTGCTCTCAACAGTATGGCATCTTAACCTATGAAAATACAAAGAAAACAACGTCTTAAAAGCTTTAGTAAATTTTCTCACCAATTAAAATATAAAATGAAAAAGTTAAACACAGGAGTCTATGTAACAGACAGAGACATCATTCCTTTCCCCAGGGTCACTTAAGGTAATGGCTTAGTGTGTATTTATCTATTTATCTTCCGGTCTCTGTTTTTTTTTTTTTTTTTGGGTGCTACAAACCTACAGCCTGCCACAGGCTGGGCAAGTGCTTTACTTCTGAGCTATACCCCCAGCCTTCTTTGAGCATCTTAATGCATTTATGTATAAAGAACACAAAAGATTATGGATACTGTTCAATACTCCATGGGATTCAATGGAAAGCTTTTTAAAATAACTTTTTATGGTATTCAGTAGAATTCATCCAGATATATTACTATTTGAAGGCAGTCAACCTTTCTAGATAGGAGATAGTGCTTTACTTGGGCCTCAGTACCACACCACAAAACTGCCCTCCCACTTTCTGGGAGAAAACAGTGATCTCCTCTTGACAGTTACAGGAAAGCAAGCCATAAGGAACAGGTAAAACCAAAAGCAAAGAAAATAAGGCAAATCATATATAACAAAGCCAAAACCACCCCCTCATTTTGAGGGGCTGTTTTATAAGAACTTCAAATTAATCTTTAATACCTTTTATACCAGTGTTTCTCAACCTTTCAAATTTTTCCCACATCTACACATTTAATCAAACCCCTGCCCCCCCCAAAAAAACTCTTGACACAAAAAAGTAGGTCTTCCTGAAATATAATTCGAAATTTAAATGTGTAATTAATTCATGCAAAAACAACTGGAACAACTGGAAACTGGGTCTCCCTCTGCATTCCTTTCTCCTCTTCTCTCTGGGACTGAGGTTAATCATCCCTCTGTTCCTGCTCCTTTTAGCATTCTGAGGAATTGCGTTGCTAATGATATATCTTATACATCTGGTTTCTCCTCTTTTAATGGTCTCAGAACCTGGTTTTTAAGCAATGTTCAAATCTCTTTTATTAAAAAGGACCCTTTATCAAGGCCACAGTCCTCTTTCCAAGTGCCGCTGTACTCTTTTCCTAACCAAGACAGCTACAGTGCAGATTTTCCAGCAGCCTCCATTTCTTCACTTCGTCTCATCTATGCGGCTCCTGCCAACTGAAATTATTCTGTGTAAGGTTATCAGTGACCTCTGTAATGTCACCACCAACTGGCACTGGTCATGCTGTACCTCATCCTTCTTGACCCACAAGGCACTACTGGATACCACTGGTCATTTCCTACTTGGTGACACATTATCTTCACTGGGCTTTGATGACTTGGCAGAGTTCGCCTGATTTCTCTTCTAACTCTGCTGATTGTCCACCTCCATTTGACCATAAAACACTCCTTTAGAATAGGCTTAATCTTTCACCTCTCTTGTTGGGCCAACTAAAATAACACCTATCTCCCTAGGCACACTCTTATCCTCTTAGACTCTATTAACTATATCACTGACAGCATGATCTTGTCAAAGGCAGGTCAGATCTACCTCTGTTTCTGTGGTAGGGAACTGAGCTCCTTCCTGCTTCTCCCACTTTCTTTCTTACCTCTTGCTTTTACTCTGTTCTAGACACACTTGTATTCTTTCAACTCCTTCTGTGAAAAATCTACTCAGATGTGACCAATAGGTTTATTAGCTCCTCATCTCTAAAGTGGGAAAAATCCTTCCTGTCTTCCTAGGGTAGTCTTCAGAACTCCATGAATGAATGAAAATAAAGCATCCAGAACTGTGTTGGCCCACGGCAAGCACTACTACAGAGTAACCTCTGAAGCATGGCCGCCACTGCATCTGGCCACTATTTCCTACAGTCCCAGAAGGATCCTTTAAGAAAAGTAACCAGATTACCTCATGGCTCTGCTCAGTACCAAGTAAGTATTTCTCCTCTTAAACTCAGATCACTAGCAGTGATTTGGTATCCTATCATCTCATTGTACCCTATATTTTCATTGCCTGCACTCTCCACCTACTAGAGTCAAGTGACATTGACCTCCTTGCTGTAGGAACACAAGCAGGCCAAGCATAATTCTTTTTTATTCGCTCTTCCCTGAACCTACAAAGGTCTTTGTCCAGTTACCAATGTGGCTCACTCTAATTTCCTTCAGGTGCTACTCTGAGTGTCCTGAGGGTTTCTTACCTCAGCACTCCTGACATTTGGTTCCACTTGATTTGGAGGAATTGAGGTTGTCCTGTATACTACAGGAAGTTAGGTGGTATCCCTGGCTTCCCCCACTACATGCCCACTCACCCCATCCCTAAGATGTGATAACTAAAAATGTCTCTAGACATTGATAAGTGTCCCCTAGGGGGCAAAACTGGGAACACTCCAATAAATCATAATTCCAATTAAAAAAGAAACAAAGCAAAACTAAACTACAACAGTCTTTTCTTTCTTTTCTGTATATCATTTCAAGACTTTTGTTATAACCTGACATATACATACATGTATATGTATATACCTACAGTCTACCTATACTAAGCCCCTTTATATAGGATAGTGTTATACATATCTTTTTGTGATTAGTTTCTTTTCTGATAACATATCACACATATATTTCCATGTCAGAACAAACAGATTTGCTATGCGTCTTTGAATGGCTGCAGAGAGCTCTTTAGTGTGGTAATACTTAAGTATATCTCATTATTGCTTTACTGGTGACTATTTAAGTTCATTCTTTCCAATGATGCAACACACATTCTCACAGGCAAAATGAGCTTTTTTGGAAACATGGTTTATGGGTCAGAAATGTGCATGTGTAATCTCCACAGAATTTCTGTTATCAGGGCGTCCTTGAGCAGTTCCAGGTCCTTCATACCCAGAGTTAAGAAGGAAGGGACGGTGCCTCCCCCACGGAGGTACATTTCTCTTTCTGATTCTTCCACATATCTGATAGCCTATGAGAAAAAACTTACCTATGCTCCATCACTTTGTTTCTGGGAACTTCTTTCCAGAATTGAGTCAATTCTGCTGGCCCTGTGCCAGATGGCTGCTCCATTTCTGCAGCCATTATCAGAAATCGGTCTTGGGCAGAGACTGTTAAACCTGCATTCCAAAAGGGCAATTAGCATGTGAACAGGAACCTTCACAAGAGGCTGGAAGTGTAGCTTACTGCATTATTCTAGAAAATAACATTAAGGGACAAGAAGAAAAGGGAACTACCTTAAACATGTAAAAAGTCCCCCAAATGAAGAATTTTATGTTTTTGAAACTCAATTTCAATTGGTGTCAGTTTTAAAAAAACTCACTCATTAAAAAATAATTACATTTTAATGCTGGAAAGGGCTTTGGAGACCCTTTGACCATCTCATTTCACACATGCAAAAACAGATGCTAAAGTAAGGCTGAGGGGGCTTGCTGATACTCTGCTAATTTCTACATTCTAGCCCTATATCTCTGTAGACTCAATAAACAGCCCCATGTCTCAGCTTCCCACCACACCTGCTGGCCACAGTGACAACCTACCCCCATGGGGAGAAACAACTATATCCACTGATGCACCAGGATCACAGCTGCTATTGCTTGGCTTGACTCTGTATTTTTCTGGAGCAGTTGTTCTCACCTGTTTGGAAACACAGGAGTCACACAACAACCTGTATGATAATCTGTATGCTTTTTGGGCGGAATGACTTTTAATGACTTTTAATGGATATCATTACCCTAAGTACATGTATGAATACATGAATGGCATGACTCTACTTTGTGTACAACCAGAGATATGAAAAATTGTGATTAAAAAAACATCAGCAGTTAATAATCACTGAACAAAGAGTCTACAGAGCAACCTTGGTGGTTATGCATAAGTTTTATCTTTCCTCATCAATAGGCTAAAGCATCTTGATCTATCTAAAAAAATACTTCACTTACCTTCCTCTTAAATAAAAAATTTAATCCATTTACTAAATATGTATCCTGTTTGCTAATAGCCTACACTTAGTGATGCAAATTCATACAACAGAATGCACAGTAGATCCCAGTATGATGATAGTCAGAAATTAAATATAGTTGACAATCAAAGCACATCTACAACATCCTAACAGTTGTATCTTTTTTTTTTTTTTGTACTGAGGATTGAACTCAGGGGTTCTCAACCACTGAGCCACATCCTCAGCCCTATTATGTATTTTATTTAGAGATAGGGTCTCACTGAGTTACTTAGGGCCTTGCTAGTGATCCTCCTGCCTCAGTCTCCTGAGCTGCTAGGATTACAGGTGTACACCACCATGCCTGGCTCAAACAGTTATATCTTCATCAAAGAGGAGATTTAAGAAAGAAACATCTATGATATTGGTGGTTGCAGACTCAGTCTTGTTACATTTAATGTTCAGTATTGGGTAAGTATTCAATATAAATTATACTCTAGAATATACTGCAGTTGAGGGAAATGTGCACTTGGAACTTTATAGTTTCCTTTTCCACTGTTGTTATGAATTAAATTATTCATATAATGAAGTGTGATTTTCTTGGGCTTTTATTTACAATAACTGTTAAACTCTGGGGATAATTTGGACATTATGAGGGGGCATTAAAGACTGAGAGATTCCAAGGAAAATGGTAGACAAGCTATGCTGCTTAGTTAGAACTAGTATGTTATATAACATGCCTAAAAGTATCATAAAGAAAAACACTGTTCAAGGTCAATCTTTGCATAAGATTATTCATTGTTCAACTATCAATCTTTCAATTATCATTATGTCTCAAATCACTTCCCAATTCATACTTTCACTCATGATTTATTATATGCTTAAGCTATTTACCTTAAATGCCACTATATTTTTAGTTACATTCGTCAACACTATTAAAGTTTTCTTCTCTCCAGATTCTGTACTTCCAAAATAGAGTTCTTCTGCTGGGCTAGGTGGTGACAAAAACATAGGGCATTTGCATTACTCAGAATAAATGACAATATAATCTTAGCTTGAAAAATATATTTGGTTAATATTTTATGCTTATTTGTGTAAAGAGATTTCACTGAAAAAGAAGACTAGAAAACAATAACCTAATTCAATTTCACATTTTAATCTTACTGATCTAATTCATGCTACTTAAGAAACCCTATTGTTTTCCCTAAAATCAAAAGCAAAATAAGAGAGAATAAGAAAGACTGTGAATTAATTCTATAGTCAACACAATCTTAAGGTACATTTATTTAAAGTCCTTAAAAGGATATGGATTATAATCAAAGCAAAGAAGATATTGCTGTTTCAACTTTCCCTAATTACAGATAGAGAGGGCTTGGGCATTTTGTTTTATACCAACAGAGAGGAACATAACTTTAAAAATATTATTAGGAATATATTTCAATAACAGAAACTTCTTTCTGTACAATGGCTTTTCTAGGTAACAGAGGAAAGAAATAACAGAGAAATAAATTTGGACTGGGAACTAAATGAAGAACTTATCAAACAGTAAACTCAGTGAGCCTCAAAATTCAAATTTTACTTAGTGGCCAATGTAATGCCTACGATCCACTAAAACTTAAACAATTCATGCAAACTTTGTGCACTTAACTCACATTAGTCAAATCATATCTGGTGCCTCAAAACAATGAGGGACATATTGGATGGTGTTTTTATTTTAATTAAAAAACTAAGGTGAGTCTTTAGATACATATTTTGATTTTGAGATACATCTTTAAACAGATACATCTTTATTTTTTATTTTTTAAAATTTTTTTATTGGTTGTTAAAAATATTACAAAGCTCATGACATATCATCTTTCATACATTTGATTCACGTGGGTCATTTTATATAAGGAATGTCTACACATGAGGAATATTCTGTAATCTATAGAACACATTTTATTAAGGAAGATCTCTCCCAGAGGGCTCTGCATACTTTTGGACAAGTTGGTAAGACAGCATGGTTGATGGGTTTCTTTTAGGGACCAGTCTTAAGTCATCGAAAAGACAGCAAGGTTATGCACCTCTGAGTCACTCTCAGTAACCAGCTTAAAAACCATAAGCAACTTTGGAGAGATGGACATAGGCTAGGTCCTTGTGCTCTGTGATTCTGCTGCGGGCACAGGTAATGGTGGAAGAGTCCAAATGCAGCCTTGGAAGCTGTCCTGCTTCAGCCTGGTTTCTTTCCTAGCCTGCTCCACTTGTCAAACCTCGACACAGGTTAGGATCTATGCTTTTGACAGGCCTCTCGTGAAAACACAGAATGTATAACTTACAAATAAGTAGAAGGAACAATGGGAACAAAAAAGAACAAACTTAAAAATGGGAGAAGGGCAAAGAAAAACCATAGGAAATAAAATGTATGTGTGTATCTTTCTCACATATATACATAGACAGTAGAAATAAATCCAACTACAACAGTAATCAAAATATGTGTTAAAAGACTCATTTTGTCAATTAGAGAATCTCAGATCAGATTTTTTAAAAGTATGTCTCTGTCTGGTTGAGATATACCTAAAACCAGTTATACAGGAAGGTTTCAAGTAGAGGGACAGGAAATGCTATATTAGATTATCATGGATGAGGGTCACTGAGCTATATCCCCAGACCCCAATCCTAATATTTTTTGATCAAATAACCTAGCAACAAAAATGGAGATGTGCTGAAATTGGGTTATAGTCAAAAACCCATTTTTTGGCTTTACAAGGCAAATCAACAAATGCCTCTATTGGTGGCATTTCTGACATCTCCCTAATTATGTAAGCATAGATAATATGAGAAAAATGCATGTCAGATTTATTAATATATGAATATTCACCTTTATTATCTGATGTATGATGAGGGCCATGTACACATACTCAATGGAATAAATAAGAAGGTAGCTATAAATATCTACTATGTCTGAAAACCAAGGTGAGTCTTCAGATAACCCTTAATTTTATATTTCCAGATAACCCTTAATTGTGTATTTTAATTTTGCTGCCTCCTCAAGATATGTTATAACAATGTAGTTAATAAAATCTTCAATGATTACCTGATGTGTAATAAGGGACCTTTAAATACACTCAGTGGTTTCTTGAAAGTTTTCAACTTTGAATCAACTTTTTCACTTTCTTCTGTTTTGGGAGTAGATTCAGCTGGGTTAGTCTAAAAGACACATACACACACACACACACACACACACACACACACACACACCCCAAGAGAGAGAAAGAATACAGACATTTTAGTTTCACACTGATATTTGGACAGGTCACTAGGCCAAAGAGTAAACATTATTTTGATTCAATCTAAATTATAATCTTTAATATACATTTATTAGGTCTAAGTGGTATATTTTAACAAATTTAAACATGACCATGAACATATATTTGATTGCTCACTATAAACATGTCACTGTTGAAAATATAACATGGTCCTTCCCTTAAGAGTCTTTAAATTTGTACTAAATTATAACATTATATTTATCTTTTTATCAAGCCCCTAAAAACTTCTAGAAAGAGTGATAACTAAGTGCTTTTTGAAAGTTGAGGAAGTAGATCAAGGTAAAGCTTTAAATCAATCACTTATCTTAGAAAAATAAAAATTAGGTAAAACATTTCTTTCCAGATGCACTTTGACAATTTTTATACAAAGCATGGACTCAGCCTTTGCCTTTCATACAATGAAGTGGCACTACTCATCAACTCATGCCGTCCTTCCTCTTTTTTTTTTTTTTTTGTTATACACAATGGTGTGTAAGGGCAACAAGTTAAGTGAACTACTCAAATCCTATAGCCAGCCTATGGTAGAATTGGGGCTAAACCACAGCTTTTGATTCCATTTCTTTTATTCATAAAATTACCTTTTTTAGAAGAGCAGTCTGCTCTTCATTAGAAATTGTTTCCAAGGTTTCTTTACCATCACTTTCTATATCTTCTTTACTTGAAGTTTCATCCTCACTGGCAATGGGCCCATTTTCACACAATGGTGTCTGGAAGTCATCATCTACCAGTGGTGGATAGCTGTACTTGAAAGGATCCTAAGAGAAAAGAAATCAGTCTGCTCAGAGGTGGACAGAAAAATAATTCTCTTATAGTTGATTTAAAATTCATTACTTCATCCAGGAAAACAGATTCAATTAGGCAATGAAATTTAAAATACTACAAGCATTTCAAACCAGAAAGGGAAAGCACAGTTAGTAGCATGGGACAATCACAATCTATGTATCTAGAAGAATCAACTTAGATCTTTAATTTACTCTTCACACCAAAAGGAACTGCAGATGGATAAAAGCTTTAAATATGTGTGTGTGTGTGTGTGTGTGTGTGTGTGAGAGTGCGCGCGCCCGCGCACGCACGTGCTTAGGTATTTGTTTAAACCAGAAAAGCACTGGAACAAAACAAAAAATTTTAAAAACAAAAAAACAAGCAAATAAAAAACTTAAGTAGGAAAGGTCTTTCTACACAGTACAAAACTTAGAAGGCACAAAAATATTGATAATGAGCTGGGGATGTAGCTCAGTGGTAGAGCACTTGCTTAGCATCCATGAGGCCTTGAGTTTAATCCCTCACACCACAAAACCACCCCCACAACAATAACAGAAACTAAAACTAAACCAAACCAAACAAAACCCAATCAACCAACAAACCAACCAACCACCCCTTCAAAAAAATATTTTTTCTTAAAAAGGTCACAACTGGAAAAATATATACCATATACATAAGAAACAAAATGGTTTTTGCTAATATAAAGAAATCAACATAAAAAGACTAACCACCCACCTGAATAAAATTCATAATCAAAGAAGAAAAACTGCCTTTGAAACAACAAAAGTGCTCAATATAACTTATAATAAAAGAGGTGCAAATTAAAATCACAGAAAAATATTTTTCACAAGAGACTGGCAAATGTTGCAGATATGAGACTGTGAGGTGTTGGCAAGCATGTGGCACAACTTTCACACTTCATTGGTAAATAGGTACAATGTCTTTAGAGGGAATTTGGCAACAGCTACCAAAATTAAAAGCTAAATGTGCCCATTGGCCTATTAATTTCACTTCTACGACTTTATCTTATATAAATATTTGCTGTACCCATGTACCAAGAGTTACTTATAGGAATATTCACTGTATCAATATTAATAATGGCAAAAAATTAGAAAGTAACTAATGGTCCTCCAAAAGAGGATTGATTATGCCAAGAAATAATAGTCCTACTACCATTTTGAATGTAGTCCTTAAGAAATAAACCACTAGCAACAAAAAGGTGGAAATATAATGTCATTTTCTACATGTAAAAATGAAAATAAATTTTACTAAATGCCACAGATTTTAAGATACAACAATTTTATTGGCCAGTTATTAAAAATGACAATATCACTACTATGATTTTCAGATACTTACACTTAGTTTTAGTACTAAGTGCACAATACTTGGGCAACAGACTTAAGTCTTTTCTAATCAAAGAAAAAAACCTAGGACCCCAGGACATCCCCAAACTTTTCATTTTCCACTCCTTGATTCTAACTGAATACAGTTTTGCTAGGCCTGCAGTACATACAAGTAGATTGTAAAAATCAAATAACTGAAATAAAGTTAATCTGAATACCAAGTTCATAGGTTTTTATGGTTTCTAAAAAGGCACTATCACAGTAAGTTTCACTGTTATGTAGTATTAAACATTTAATATGCAACCATTTACTCATGATCTTTATTTGTAAGTAGTAAAAATTGGTTCAAAAAAATCTTGAGGGCTGGAGTGTAGCTTAGTGCTATAATGCTTGGCTAACACGCATGAGCACTCATTTGCTCCCCAGCACCACAAAAATGAAACAAAAAAGAAACTTGACTGTATATGCTTAATAATATCTCTTAAATTAAAAAGACTATTGAACAACACAAAATTGGAAGGAAACTAAAGGCACATTAAAAGGAAATTCAAGAATTTGTGGTTTACCTTAGATATTGGAGTACTATGAATCCATAAACAAGAGGAAGAAAGCTTGCCACATATTGGTTTGGAATAATCTCTAAGACATGTTGTGAAGAAAAAAGACAAGATGTGCAATAGTGCATAAATATACTACCTGTTTAAATGGGATACTTGCTTATATATGCAATACACATCCCTGGAAATTAATATAAAATTTCAGCTGTGGAAGAGAACAGCGTGGTTGGGATAAGAGTTCGAGGAGACTAATTTTAAAGTAGAAGAATGTAAGATTTTAAAGACTTGTTTCTGAATATTTTCCTGAATACTGAATACTGTTCAGGTAAGAATCATGTAAATTAATTACTCATTTAAAAATTAACAACTTTAAAACTTATTGAAACATGTGTGTACCATCACTTTCTACTTTGGAGTATCTGTTATCTTTCTTTGTATGTCACAGTATTGCTTTTCCTTTTTCCTTGAGGAAAGAGTACATCTTAGCTGTGCTTTAATTCAGTGTTATTTCATCAATAAATTTCAAGGGCTATACTTACAGTTCCACCCATGTGAGGAGGCAGGTATTCTACACTGACATAGTCCTGGACTTCATTTTTACTTGTAAACTTCAATAAACTCACTGCTTCTGGGCCAAGCCAACTCTTCACAATTTTGAAAGCAGCTGAAGAAAAAAGTCATTTCATTAAAATTCTTTTCATTCTCATCAGCTGATTCATTGTCCATGCTAACCTCAGTCTTTTGAAATCAGTTTGGGCTACGATCTGTTAACATTTATCTTTACATGGCATGATACTTAATATTCTCAATTCCTGTAGGCATTTATGGTGTGATTGTCCCTTATGAATTTCAAATGTTCCATTAAGATTCAGGAAGACTAAATTACCCTGATGCTCATTAATAAACTTATCAACATCTGAACACATCTCAACTGCTAAGATCTATAGACAGTAAATCAAACTGCCATGTGATTTAGGGGATAACTGCACAACAGTATGAAGAGTCATTTCCTATGGTTCTGAAAAAACCCTCAGTCTGAAAAACTTTCTCAAAGGAGAAATCAGGAAGAGAAGGAAATAGCCCTCCTCATTATGGGTGTGACCTGGACCCAGATTTCCTTCCTAACTCTAAACTTCTCTGCCTTTTTCCCAGGCTCTGCAGTTTACATAACTGTGGGGGAACTTACGGAATCTACAAGAATAAACTGTTATCACACACAGCTGTTTGGTAATTACAATCTTGTCCCATCATGCCATTTCTTACTTATACTAATTTTTTAAGCTTCATTTCTAATGTGAGAGTCTAAGCACATTTTTAAGATACTAAAAGTGGAATACTGCATTAAATGTGCATAAGTGTCGATGGAAAAAAACTGGAAATAAGAACAGCATGATAAACATGGAATAGCGGTTCAGAAAATTACATTTTTACCATGGCTATGATTTAAGCTTTCCTTTTGCATAACATTAAAATTATCAATAACTTCAATTTAAATTTTGTGAGTTGACAGGCTTGAAGCTATGCTACTGGAGTTTATATATAAAGTGCTAAATTTGACTTTTGATAATAGCTTTATTGAAATATAATTTAAATGATGTTAGTTGTAGGTTTTCAATAGATATCCTTTATCAGGCTAAGCAAGTTCAATTCTGTGTAGTAAAGAACTGGCTCTTGCCCTCAGCTTCTGGGAGGTCTTTGTTTGCCTAGGGTCTTGGATCACACTGTAACAATATGACTTAGGTTGGGCACTGACAATGGCAGAAAGATAATCATGTGATTTAGGATGGGGGCTCTGGGTCACACAATGACAATATACCTTTGGAGACTGGGCACAGAGATGAACCATGAGTTAATCAATCATGTCTATGTAATAGAGTCCTAATAAAAACTCTGAATACTGAGGCTTGGTTGAGCTTCCATGATTGTCAATATTCCATGTGCATTGCCACACATTGATTCTGGCAAAGTAATGTGCTCCACATTTGGAACTTCCCTTGGCCAATTTTAATATGAATCTTTTTTTCTGTAATTAACTGTGACTCTGAGTATAATAGCTTTCAATGTGTTCTAGCAGTCCTTCTAGAGAATTATCAAACCTGTGGGTGATTGTGGTAACCTTTGAGCTTGCAGTTTATGCCAGAAGTGAGGGCGGGGGGTCTTCTATGGACTGCTATGATCTAACTTGCAGTTGTTCCAAATCTGCATTTTCCATTCCCAGTTTCAGTACTTTTATCATGACAGGGTACTAGATTTTGTTGGATACTTTTGTCTGTGTCTACTGAGATGATCATGCAAGTTTTTTTTCCTCTGTATTCTATTAATATGGTAGATTATGTTGGTTTTCCTATATTGCATTCTTGAGATAAATCCCACTTGGTCATGATGTATATTGCTTTTTACGTTCTGCTGTATTCTGTTTGCTTTGTTGAGGACTGGTACATCTATATTTATAAGGATTACAGTTTGTAGTTTTTTTTCCTGTTGGGTTTGATATTAGAGTGATACTTGCCACTTAAAATGAGTTTGGAAGTGTTCCCCCCCTCTTCTATTTTTTGAACTGTTTACAAAGGATTGATGTTGATTCTTCTTTAAAAATTTCCTAGAATTTACCAAGGAAGCCACCTGGACCTAAACTTCTCTTTTTGGGAAGTTTTGTGGTTGAAATTTTGTTAAAATTCTATTCTGATTCTTTTTGAGTCAGTTTCAATTGTTTGCATCTTTGTAAGAATTTAGCCATTTCATCAAGGTTATCTAATTTCTTGGCATACAATTATTTATGGTATTTACTTATAATTATTTAAAAAATAATTTATTAATTTTTATTTGTTTTAATCAGTTGTACATGACAATACAATGCACTTTGATACATCATATATAATGGAGTTTATTTTCTCATTCTTCTGGTTGTACATGATGTTGAATCCCACAGGTCATAGTTATATATGTACCTAGAGTAATAATGTCTGTATAGTTCTTTTTATTTTGATAAAGTCAGTAGTGATGCCTGCTGTTTAATTCCAAATTTTAATAATTTAAGTATTTTTCTTCATCAGTTTTGATAAAGGTTTATCATTATGTTGAAGTGCTGAAGTTTTCAAAGAACCAACTTTTAGTTTTGTTGATTTTCTCTATTGCTTTCTATGTAACTGGCGTTTGTAAACATCAATGAAAGTGCACATTCAGAGAAAACAAAAATTACAATCACTTTAAAGTTGGTAAATTGTTTTTCAATGGATTTAAAAAAATATTGCCAAAAATATATTATGACTGCCAAAAGGGCCATGTTGCTACAGAGATTTGGGGTGAATTTCACATTCAACCCATCTTTTCTTCAACACTTGGAGCCCAAGAGAGAACCTAGCCAAGGCCTGTATTCTGTGATGTACCCTGTTTGTGGATGGCAAATTAAGGCTTCTGGTTATAATGTCACCTGAAATGACTGAATATCTTGAGGTTGTTTTTAGAAAAGACTAGTGAGTACCCCAGAGTCTGGGCATAGAATGTCAGCCCCATTTATTTAGGACCAGCCATTGAATACTCTAGTGCTAGTGTCTTAAGAACAATACAATTTGTTATAAAATAGCCGTAGAAGTATAGCTAATGTGGCAAAGTAAGAAAAAAGAAAATCTGATATTTTGTTTTAGGAAAGCATAAATAATTTACTCACCATTCATTATCCAGGGCATATCAAAGATCACCATTTTTGCTGAAAGATGAAAAAATTCAATAAATGTGACTGAGTCTATAGTACTATCACTTATATCTGACCTAGAAAAATCTGATCACTTAAATATAAATAAGAATTAAGCTGGTTGACCAAGTTCAATTCAGTGAAGCATGAGTAGTGCTGGGACTCAACCAACATCTCACAATGGTGAGTGGCTTGCCCAGGAAGATGACTGGGAAATCAATAATGCACTGACACTGCTGTTCTGAGAACAGCCGGCTTCTTTGTTCATTTATTGCTTGCACAAAAGTACAAAAGAAAGTAAGTTAAGTGGGTAAGTGGAGTCTTTGGACCTGGTATGTCATATTAGTGCTAAAGGCCCCTGAACTTTAAAAACATTTCCATGTCTAATTTATGGTTTTAATGATTCTTTTCTAGAGATTATACTGTTAAACCAGTCTCACAGTTGCCTCCATCCCTTAATAAATCATTATGTTTTAAGTAACAAAAATATTTGTACTTTTTAATGAGTTCCAGGAAGTCAATAATTCCAAAGTATACAGAATTATAGTTCACACACTGAATAGAAGACATTAAACAGCCCTATTAACAACTGTAAGAAAGAACCAAAAAAACCACAAAGAGGAGTTTTGATATCCAATTCATTCATAACCCACTTGAATCAAATGTATGAAATATGATATGTCAAGAGCTTTGTAATGTTTTGAACAACCAATAATAAAAAAAACAGATGAATCTATATGTAATTTTATGTTTCTTTGAGCAGAGAACCTTCCAGAGTAGGTATAATAATGTAGGGCAAGTGAAGTACATATAAAGAACAAGGTACAAGTAAAGAGATACCCTGATCTTAAGCCCAGTTCATTTGGCATATGCTTGAGATATACTGGTTAAATCCATTTCATGATGGATTTTGAAGAATAATCAATCTAAGATTCCACACAATTCAATGTCTACAAAAGTACAGTATGCTGGTAGAATATATATATTATCTGTAGTCATCTGAAATGAACAGCATTCTAATTCATGTTTATAAAGATCTATGAATTAATTAATAATTCTTTCAAAAAATCCTGGATGTATTTTATAAAGTAATAAGAATATTTATGTTATTTCTAAGTGGCTCTTTACAAACTCCTTTAGATATTTCAATAAATAAGTGGACATTTTATTTTCATTTTGTCCATCAGAGAATCCAACTAATAATATGGAGTAGTGATATCCTATAAACTGAGGATTGGCACTGCTCAGCAAGCCTCAAAGAGTCAGAGTACATGTCAGATACAAAAGAATTCATAAGGAATAGTAGATGCTACAGGTTCCCCAAACTGAACACTACTGGTCATTCTCTATAGCTAAGAACATTCACAAATACTGTCTCTGAAGAGAGAGAGTACAAGGCTAGAGGTGGCAGCACTATTCTTAATATCCATTACGCTTTTTGTCTATTCCTAACTTCACATTAACAATAATATGAAAGCAAGCCAAAGTAAGATGCTTTAGGAATTTTTATATTTCAGTGTCACCTAAATCATGAGTCCCAAATGACCCTAATTGAGATATCTGCCAGGAATATACCTGGAAGGATCTATGAATTTCCATTTTTTTGATTTTCTTATTGCCTCCCTTCTATCTTTTTACTTTTAACCCACTGGGGTTCAATATATTTGATTGTTTATGTGGGTTGGAAGCTTGTTTTCCTCGGGTGGAACTCATTATATAAATCCAACAAATGAAAAAAAATGAGCATGAGATTTAGGAGTTTTCCATTTGGGTAATTACTAAAAAGTTAAAACCAAAAACAAAGAAATAAATTCCAGATTCAAATATAGTGCTTCCTTGTGAAGTATTTTCTTAATGACAATATTTAGAGAGCAATCAAAACACACTGTACTTTATGTAACAATGTTGCTTATCATACAGTGTATTTTATCAATATTGCTATCTGTTCTTACATGCAAAAACATTCCATATAATAAATATAATTTAAAATAAATTTCTAAATTGAAAGTATAGTAAAATGAGGATAATATTTTAAGTAAATGTCTATTTGTATGTACCTTTGTATGTGTGTGTGTGTTTTATTGGACGTATACATACATTTTAGAACTTAAACTTTTAAAACTAACTGTAAAGAACAATGACTACTTATGAAAAAAATTCCTCTTAACCTACTATAAAATGCACTTAGACGTCCCCCTTGTACACATTTAAATCTCTTCATCAGAAAATAATGTTTGAGGTATGAAAGTCTATAATAATATAACGATCTATATTTCTCAGACATTATCTATAGTTTCAATATATTATATTTTTATAAAGGAGTAAGTTACTTACAGAGGTATTTAGGGTAATAAACCTTAAAGCAGTTGATGATAAAGCGTACAAAGTCCATGTCCTAAAATAAAGATTAAATCTTTAAGACTGTCCATATTAGAGAACTTTAAATTGCACATTTCTAAAGGTCATAAATGGTTAAATACAAATGAGACAATTATTAAATTCTTAAAAATGAGCTCATATAAATATTTACATTTCCAAGCATTAAGTTTTTAGGTCATTAAACTGTAATTATGAGCCCTAAAATTAAGTTGAAGAAATCAGATGCTTGAATGACATTTTAAAATTATTGCTCAAACTTGTTATGTATTTCAGGCTGTTATGGCAATGGGGCATAAAATGGGTCTCAAAGCAATCCCCACAGAAAAATTCTAAAAATCTACTGAGCAATTGAAGAATTATTAAAACAAGAATACATACAGTTTATAACTTGGAATGATTATACACACACACATACACACACACACACACACACACACACACGCACATAAATTCTGGTAGAATATTTGCCTTCTAAATCTACTTTTTCCACAACATAATAGCTTCAACAAAATATATTTTATTTTTTTTTACCCAACAGTTAATCTGATAACACTGACCAAAGTATCAAAGTATCTACTTTACTTCTCTGACTTCTTTCCTTTTATTTAAGAACCTCAAATTATTCTTTTAGTTTACATTCAAGTGTTGTTCATTGACTTCAATTTCTGGGAGACTTTGTAAACTTAGCTGTCTGGTTAGTTCTAATGCTTTAAGCACAGCAACAGTAAATTAGGTCATTAGGGATGTTATTTGCCTTTCATTCTATGTTCTTTCATGGGCACAGGCTGTTTCAGTAATCCTGATCTGCCACCTCATAAAGTCTGCTGGATGAAAGATATAAGCAGGCAAACTAAAATCCATCACAATTACTGAAAGGCAGATTGTTCTAGAGATGAGAGTCTATATAAAGTCATCCCTAGCCTCTGAGTTGCAGCATCTTTAATTGCAGTAAACTAAAAGTAAGCGTCCTTAACTATCTGAAGTAGTTATTATGGGATAAATTCTAGCATATAATAATAGCTTTATAAATAGTCATTACATCTACTGTGCAAAGTTTCATAATTTGTGGTTAAGTAAGAGTCAAAGAAAATAGCTGAAAAGAACTAGTTATATCAAAATTTGGTTACCTAGTTTATAATTTGTGATCCCTCTAGAAACTTTGCCTAGTCTTTGTCTAATATTTTTGTTTCCAATTATTTAATTGACTATGCTTGTTCATCAAATCTTGAGTTACTGCTATTCACATGGATTTTGATAGAATGCCACTGCTGTGTGTCTATCAGTGGGTACTACATAAAATAGCTCCATGAATCCTATTGCTCTGCATTCTGTAAGGATGCCTTTGTTTCTGATGATGTTATATGTTATATTGGAAGGTGTCCTTCCTTTGAGGACCCATGGAAGATTTTTCCCTCTAGTTCAACTATCAGGAATGGATACACTTGTTCGAGAATACTGATTTTCAAGTATGGCCACTGCATAATTTTAAAAGATTTCATTTCCTTAGGCAGGCAGCTGAAAGCTTAGAGTCAAACTGGTAGCCCAACTCTAACAAATGATTTCTTTATGTTTTGCTTCGTAATTCTGTATACATCTTTATAAGCTGATTTAAGTGAATCATGAGAAAGTCATATATAGAAAGAAGTTATGCAAAAAGATTCAAGTAGTTTAAAACAATAATGACTGAAATAATTAGTCATGCAAATAGACTTTATTTACAAATTAAAGATCATGAGATATCATATAAGTTGCTTGAAAAACAGCTTTTCAATTCCCTGTCTCTATATTTGGTAATAGAAAATATTAACATTTCTTTTGCATGATTCTGGGTTAATAGGAAATTATCATACCCAAAGAATAAAAGAATCACGACTTACCTTTATGGAATATTTATTTATTTAGGTAATTTGATTTTGAATATAAAACAATTTCCTCTGTAATTAAAAACCTATTCACATGGAAACTAGGTTGGAAAAGTCTAGGGCATTGGATTCTTAAACAAGAAAGAGTAATAGAAACATGAAAAAAAATAATCTGTGGTCCTATCACACCCAAAACTTCTTGTTAATAATTCTCTCTAGCTTTAAGTCTAAGGTTTCTTTATTTCTTTTTTTTTGAGCTACATATCACCATATTATGGTAAAACAATCTTTTTCATTAAAGAAGTATTCTCCAATATTACTATAAATTCTTTATAAACACAATTTTATATAGCTACATATGCTCCACCAATTAGATACGCCATAGTTTACCATTTCAACAAGTTGGATGTTTTCTAGGTTTTTGCTATTTTAAATGACATCCTGAGAAACATTTTCATGCTTTTTTAAAATTCAGGATTATTTCTTTAGAACAGATTTCTAGAAGTTAGTTATGAGAAAACAGTCTGAATATGGACACTTTAAGGTTCTTAAAATACTTTGCCAAATGGATTTCCAAAAAGATTTAAACACTGCTGTGAGTGGGTCTGCAAATGCCATTTCACTGCTACCAGAATCTGCCACAGTTTAAATGTAATAGACAACAGTTAAAATAAATGTGCCAACTGATCTCAATTGCTGCTAAAGGTTTTATATTTAGCACTAAAGAGACAAGGACCCAAATTAAAGACTGAATACTTTGATGTTTTTTCTGATATGGGGTCTTGCTAAGTTGCCCAAGCTGGCCTCAGGCTCCTGGGAACAGGCAATCTTCCTTCCTCTGACTTCTGAGTAGCTGGGATTACAGGCATGCAGCCCACTCCCAGTTGCTTGACTTATGTTTTTAAGCTTGGCAAAAATCATCTGAGGGTTAAAGTTTAGCAAATCAAACAAACAAATAGAAAACAAATCCAAATTAGCAAATGAAAGTACCCAACAAAATCACAGTATGTGCAAAACTCATGTGAATATTTTGCAACTGCAAAACACAGTATAATATAATGTCATAGAGATCAGACATGAATTACTTGATATTTATTGCATGTGTTTTCTCTGTGCAGGGCACAGGAATGGGTGCAGTAGGATATAAGCCATGGTAAAAAAGCTGTCATCACATTGACTCATGCTCTGCCAGTCTTGATGTCCTACCTCATCATCCTGTATATCAGACAAGGGACATTTCTAGGAATTCTAGTGTCAATGCCAAATACTGAAGCAAATTTAATTCTCTGCAAACCCAATTCCATGTCTGACTCTATTCAAAGAAAAGAAATGTCAAACTTAAGTTAGCTCTATTTTACAACAAAATTTGGTTGGCAGGGAGTACAGGAAAGACAGAAGAAGCCAGGATAAACAATGGTTTAGAATTAATGTAAAATGCTTACTATGCTATTCAGTCCAGTTTCTGACAGGTCAAACATCACTGTTATAGGTTTCCCATTTTCTCTCTTAGCATAACGTTCCAACCAGAATGCTATGAGCTTCTTTTTGTCCAAAATAGTTTTCTGGTCTTTTATATGATACTTCACTCTGATCCAGACTTTTAAAGATAAAGAACAAAAGATAAAGAACAAGATTTATGGCATTTTACATACATATATAGCCTTTTCCTTGACATGTTTCTTCATTTTTAACTCATTTTGTTTCATATAATAAAAGCAGCTCTTCTTTCTTTTAAATGAGAAATAGTTGCCCTTGGGTCCTTTAAATTAAAGAGAAGCAGAGAAGTTTAAACTATTTTTTTCCCTTAGGAAATAAACAACCTTCACTTCTATGGGGAAACAGAACATGCAGGTGAACAAACACTATTTGGTAATAACTAAAAGTGCACTTCAGTGTGTTTGAAAAGAAAGCCAGTGGTTCTGCCAAGCACTAGAAAAAATGTTTCATCCAGAGGAAAGACACTGACAGGTGTGATGAAGGCCTGAACAGGTGATGAGCAGAGCAAGACAAATGCTTCAGATAGTGGTGGAAGCTTTGACAAGTGGTAAGAGGAGATGTGGAATAGACAGGAGCTGGGCTTAAGGGACTCTGGAACACCAGGACATTTTGGTTTTCCTATTTCAAAATACATTTTGGGCAGTGGCATAGAGGATAGAGTGGAAGAGGCAAGGAAGGAAACTTAATAGTCTATGGTTTGGGAAGGGACTAAGAACAAGTGGGTGGTAGACAGGGACTGAAATGAGGAAGCACTGGTGAGGATGGAAAAGGCACCAAAATTCAAGCTATATTAGAGGAAAAGACAATGGGTGAGACTGAGTAGGGCAATATACAAAGTGGGCAAGTGGTAGGATGCAGATGTTCAGTTGTGTGTCATTTAAAAAAGCAGCTCACAGTCATGCGGTGCTAGTTAGTGGGTAGCTGGGTATGTGCACATGGTGTGGAGACTACTTGAGATCCCCACCACTTGTCCAGAGGTGGGTGAAGTTGCCATTATTCTTCAGATGACCCAAGGAGATAGTATTAGCTGGAAAGTCAAAGAAGCCAAGAAAAGACTAAGCCTGGGAAACATATTTAAGGGGCAAGCAGCAGGAAAAACTAAAAGAAATAAAGATTGAGAGAGAAAATAGTGAAAAGGGAAAGATAAGATATTGTTAAAATATAGTACAGATCACAAGCTAAAGAGAAAACAAGCAAGACGAGCACAGGACAGCTATTCAGTCCAGGGATCAAACACACCTGTCAAGTCCCAACCATGGCACAATATGAAGCTAGATTTGGTGCAAGTGGAGAGGACAATGAAGGAGTCATCTGAACAACAGAGATGACTGTTTCTGTTCTTGTTATTATACACATTTTGGAAAAAAGCTAAGGGGAGATGACTGAGAAACACACACAAAATGTCCATTTAGCAAGTGTAAGCAACTGTAAAAAAGATTCTTCATAAAAATATTGGGTCAAATGTTAACAACAACATCAACAATAAAAATGACTTCCCGTATAACCATCCAAATGTTAACAACAAAGTCAAAATAGAAAATAGTAACTCAGAATCAAATTACTTTGGCTTATAGGATGCAGCATTTGCATTTACTGCCTACTTTCTTATAATGCAAACAGAATGCACAACTATTAAGTATGTGATATGTAGTAAAGATGGTCCTGATCATCCCTAATTGTAGGAGGCGAGCAGTGTACTACAGATGGAGAAAATGCTGTGGATTAATTCAATTGAGAAAGATAAATGTCAGTGCATAAATTAAATATACTTACACAATTTGTTGCCTTCTTTGTCATAACCATGCAGATAAATACCACCAATTTCTAACAACCATCTGGGAATGGAGGATTCATTAAGGTCTAAAAAGTGATAAACTTTGATCAGTAATTGTAATTTAGGGACCAAAAGATGAAACTGACAATGTAAAGGTAATGGTACATAGTAGCTCATATATAAAGATACAACTAGCAATACAAAGGGTTTTTCCTACTAAGGAAACAAACTACATAAAGACATATGGAGAGCTGTGGGTATATCTCAAATGGTAAGGCCCTTGCCTGGCATGTGCAAGACCCGGTGTTTGATCCCTAGCACTGCAAACAAATAAAGATACACAGGTGACAGAAATGGAAATATTCTGTTTTCTTTGACAAGTCAGTCATTATTTATTTGGATACATTTCCACATTCTGGGTGTGGCTCACATAATTATTTGACTTGCAAACAAATATTATCACTACCAGACAATTTCAAGAGAACACAGTAGAGGCCCAGGATGTAGCTCAATGGTGGGGTATGTGTTTAGTACATAAAGCCTGGGTTCAATCTAGCACAGAGAAGAAAAGAAAAAAAGAAAGAAAATGTTTGTATATATTCACATAAACTCAAATTTGGAGGAGAAAAACTCATTTTGGTTTTTCTATTAAAATGATATCTTTCTTAAAAAAGTTTGATATCCAGTAGTCTCTAACAAAGTTTATAACCTTGGGGCAGTAGAAAATTCAAGAAATACACAAGATCCTTTAACAGGGAGAACAAACAATGTGCCTATCCTATCTCTGCTAGGGCTGAAGACCAGCATGGCAAAGTGTAAGCTTTTGTTTAATTTACCAGCAGTTCCCCAAGAACTTTACAAGGTTTCTCTTTTCTCATACTCCCACTGCTTATCCTATCTCTGTTTGCCACCCCAAACTAGCAATTCTATGTAAGAACACAAGTATGGTTGAGTTCAAAAGTGTATTATGTACTTAAATGATTTGAAAATATCAGATTCATTTTTTCCTTCAGTAATAAGTGCTTCAATGTTTGCTGAAAAGTTCCCATGGTTTTAAAATTTCCAATCACATTCTTTCTTTTTTATTAGTACAATCACTTTATTTCTTCAATAATCCCTTTCTCATGGATTCCTTCTACAAGTATGAACAGTGGGGAGAGATCTTCTCTAATTATTTGTTGACTGTCTTGCACTAAATTTTCATAGTCATTCACGCCAGAGTTTATAATCTTCAAGGACAGGAAATCCTTCTTTATACCTAATTGAAATCAGTAGTTATGCCAGTTTCTTCCTGCTAAATTTTTAGGAGACAGATAACAGGTAAGGTAACCCCCTCCTGTGAACAGCTCTTCATATACTTGAAGACCATGCTAAAACTCCTTGTAAGATTTAAAACTCCCATTGGGGGACAGATTTCAATCTAGTAGTGGACTTTAAAAATTAAGAAGAGAAAACTGCCATTGGAATCCTTGGGGATAAGTTTGCTTTTCTGGAATCTCTATCCATTTAACAATTCTATATAAACACTTACAAGCACAAAGAACTCTGGGAATAGGGAAAGGCATTGGAAAAAACAGAGAAAACCAAGAAAATAACATTTCCTTATTTCTAGGTCCAGTAGTGAGGATGCTGCCTTGCTGTTATATAATGATGCCAAACTAAACATAAATTAGAAGGCTATGCTGTGAAGAATGTGTGATTCTGCTCCCTGGTGAGTTGATTTCCTTAGGAATGATCCTACTTATAAGACCTTTTCACAAGATGTTCCTTTGAAAGTGTTATTAGGTCTTTCTAAATAATTATGTTCATATGTGTATGACAATTGCCAAGAATATGTATAAATACAACATTTAATAAATGTAAAACAGTAACATTTATGTAGGCAATGTCACCCTGTCATAGTTAAACTGAATTGCTTACCATTGACAGAAAATTCTTTCCTCCACTGAAAACTCTCATCAAGCATCTTTAGTGTTTCATCGACAACATTATGTCTCCAATGTAAGTAACTTTCAACCCAGTTATCATCTTGTTGTAGCCTTTCAACATCACGTGGATCATATTTTTCTGGCTTATCTAGGGAAAAAAGAGTAATAAATATCCAAGTCAGATTAATTCTGCAAATTAAAAACAACAAATGCCCATACCAAGAAGAAGAAAGACCTGGGAGACAAAGCAAAGATTTTTGAGGGTAGATGTAGGGATATATTTCAGATGAAGATTCAATTTAAGGGACTGATGGAATTTCTAAGTGAGAGAAAAATGAAATTAAAGACTGCATATTTTAAAAAATAACACCAGAGCCTGATGTGGCGGTGCATGCCTATAGTCCCAGCTACTCAGGAGGCTGAGGCAGGAGGATCACCTGAGCCTGGAATCACAGTGAAACACGGTCTCAGAAAACCAAACTAAACCCAACAAAGAGACCCCCAAAAGAAGACCAGAGTAAAATATTTAGCACAACCCTCTCTAAAACTATAAACCAGTATCTGGGAAGATCAATTGTTATATGAATTTGAAATCCTTACTGTATTCAAATAAAGACATATGACTAGAAATGAGTAAGTTATTTAAAAAAGATGGCTGCTTGGCAAGTGTTAAAAAATAAACTAAATGCAAAATGAAAAACTGATCACATATGCAGCATTATATTATTTATTATTTCCATACTGAGGCCAACATTTTCAATAATTTATTGGAATAATTATTTTCAATAATAGTAACTTCTCACTATGGGCCTACACACATGCTATATACCTAATTTCTATACCAGATATTCTTCCTTGTATGCCTTATTCTCACTATGTTTCTGCAAATGAACTTTCCTTGTCTTTGTACAACCATCTCTGTGCAACTAAATTCTACCATTCTACAATACTCCTTTCAAATGTTTCTCCTTCCATAAAGACATAATTTCTTCTCTCCTGTGAACAGCAGTACAGGACTTGAACTAAGCCTTTCTTAAGGCACTTACCAGTTTTTGCTTTGAATTACAGTTCCTGGCATGCATGCCATATTTCCCAAATAGACAATAAAAATGCAAAACGTAGACATCTTAAGAATCCTCCCAAACAGATGACAGTAGTGTCAATGAGAAATCCTTCAGCAAACCTTTGCTGACACAATCTATTCTATCTCATTTTGTTTTCTTTATCTTCAGCTATCTGTATCCTCTCAGGGGCCCATGAAAAAGCTTGGGAAAATTCCCTGGCTCCTTCATTTCCTTTTCTTTCAGATCTAGTTAGTTTCCAAGTTTTATAGATGTTTCTTTCCAGTTCCACTGCCTTTATTCCAGGACTTCAGAGATAATAGCAGGAAGGGCAGGAAAACATAAAGTGCATTTAGAGAATTGTCTTCTTTGAGTCTCAATGTCCTTATCTTTAAGTTGTTTTATATACACATAGTGCTATATGAGGACCAGATGAAAAAACATCTGACTTTATGTATTTTCAAGAAATATTCTGCCAAATACTCAAGTCTGCATAACTGTAGTTTACTCATCAGTTGTTCTTTCAAATAAAAATGGTGTTCCAGGAAAAATGTGACTAATTCAGATGGCGACTTAAACATACATAGCATGCAGAAGTGTTTTATGCATACTTCTCCATTCCCTCACATAGAACATTAAGAGGACATGTCCTCAAAGGTCAAGATTTAATAAAATTTACTGTATCATTAGAGACTTTCTAAAATAAAATTGGCTTTTTTTTTTAAATCTCCTTTTTCTTTTTTCACTGAGAGGGCTGACAAGCAAGACTATAAAGACTATTGGCCTTGATTTGGGTCATGGAATCAGCAATTTTATCCACCATTGCTTCTGTGCAATCACTACAAATGTCATCACAGTGATAAAGGCAAATGATATCTTAGAATTATTATGAAAATAGTTTTGACCTCATAGACTTCTAAAAGCGTCTTAGGCATCCCCTAGGGTCACAGACTCTGAAAACTCCTCATTTCCTCATTTAGAATTATATTTGATAAGTGGTAAAAATTCAGTAAACATTAGCCATAAGAAAAAAGAAAACATTATTTTTCTCATTATTACTACCACTGCTAGTACTATCACGAGGGAAAGCATAAAGAAGACAGTGCTCATTACTAAGAAATTTAAAGACCGTGCCTTTTTGGAGGGTGGGGGTAACCACGGATTGAACCCCGAGGCACTTAACCACTGAGTCTAGCTCCTTTTTTTTTTTTAATTTTGAGACAGAGTCGCACTAAGTTGCTTAAGGCCTCGCTAAATTGCTGAGGCTGGCTTTGAACTAGCAATCCTCCTGACTTAGTCTCCCAAGCCACTGGGATTACAGGCATGAGTCAATGCACTCAGTTAGCCTACTGCCTTTTGATAACCTTCAAGGACATAGATCTTTAAAATGAGAAAAGTTCACTTATGGTAAAGTGATTTTTATTATTAATAGACATATATTTACATATTAAATGGTTTCTAACCGTTTACACTTAGACAAATAGAAATGAAATCAGACAAGGGAAAGTAAGGAAGATATATGAAGAGGAGAATGTGGGACTTGGAAGAGAGAGGCAGGAGAAAAGTAGATGCAGAAGGGAACCGAGGAAAAGGGGTTGGAGCAGAGAGGTGAAGAAAAGGGAGGGGGAGAGAGAATAAGAGAAACAGAGGGAGATAAAGACAAGAGGCAGAAAGAGAACTGAACATTTGAGGTAAGGAAAATATGGCCTAGGAACACAAGCTAAGAGGCAAAAATTAATTGTGCTTATGACAACAAAATCTGCTGTTTTCAAATATAACCCACAGATAACTGGGCCCTTAAAAGATTGGAAGTTTTCAGAAAACCAGTCCTTTGACAAGTCTAGATGTGCTGTGGTTTGAATGGGTTCCCACTAAAATTTAGGTATTACCAATGGCACAGGAGGTGATTACTCTAAGGGTTTCTGTTGTTACTGGGAGTAAGAACTTATAAAAGAGGCTTCCCCAAGTGTTACCTAGCTTGCCCTTCTGCCTTTTGCCATGTGAGGATTTAGCAAGAACTTCCTCACCAGTCAATGCTAGAGTCTTGATCTGGAACTTCCCAGCATCCAAAATTCTGAGAAAATAAATTTTGATTTTTTATAAATTACCCAGTCCCAGACTAAGACAAATTGTTATAGGAAGAAGCTAAAGACATGTGCTTAAAATGTATCTGAAGATAAAAATGTGCATGCATACACATACTTAGGACATTACTTTGAAAGACTTCACCTATCAATGATTAACATGAATAGATGAGGAGGGGTTTAGTTTTATGCACAGATATATATGTATATAATCTCAATTCTTTGTCCATATTACTTTCATCTTACTGTGGATCAGTGACAACTTCATTACAGACCAACATTAATCTCAAGTGATAGATTTTTTAAGTCTCATCTCTGCATTTCCTCCCCCTCCCTCCTTTCCTTCCTTCCTTTCTTATATTTTTTCTCCCTTCCTTCTTTCCTTCCTTCCTTTGTACTGGGGATTGAACCCAGGGGTAACTGGGTTAACTACTGAGCTACATCCCCAACCCTTTTTACTTTTTATTTTAAGATAGGGTCTCACTAAGTTGTTGAGGTCCTTGGTAAATTGCTAAGGCTGGCTGAACTTGTGATCCTCCTGCCTCAGCTTCCCAAGCCACTGGGATTACAGGTATGTGCCACTGCGTCCAGCTGCATTTCTTCATAATAACTCATTTTCAGCACTCCTTTATTTAGAAACCTTCTTAATGAACTATCAGTACACCTATGGTTCACTGTCTCTTTTGACCATGTATTTGTTCTTATAGGAGTTCTTTTCTGTAAACTGGTTTTACACAGGTACAACACCAATAATTAAATTGTAACATGTATTATTTGGCAGAGAAAGAACTAAAGATACATGGCAATGGTGATTCACCTCTGGGAACAGACAGTATTAAATGTTCTAGGGTAAAGATGATTCTCTCTCTTAGCTTTCCATCTTTCACCTACACACACACACACACACACACACACACACACACACACACACAGTTTTAAGTGTTGCAAGATAAAGAGACTACAATTCTTACTTGTAAAACAGTGACATTATCAACAAGTCAGAAAATGTGTTTTAAATTTTACAAGGGTCAAAAATATGTGGCCATATTCAGGGTATGGTGTAGAGTGATGGAATCAAAAGTCCCATGCTGATATATATACTGAGACCCAATAAGTCCCTGAACCTTATTTTCTTATATGTAAAGTGGAGATGGACTGCCTATCCATAGTCATTGGAAGATCAATAACACTGAAAAATGTAAATACTATATACACGAATTTATATTAACACAAGTTAGAATGTTAACCATCAGAGAAAGACAAAATTTACCTAAAAGTTAACTAGTTGAGAAACTCTTGGAAGCATATGGTAGTTATTATAATGGTCCTAGATTTCAGATGAAAGTTGAAAAACGACAAAAATGTTCTGATACTGAAAATTAGAGAACTGTTTTTAATTGGGCATAATAATATTCAAAAGGAGCAATCATAAAACTTTAGATCATTATAGTAGCTTATAATACCATATCATTTCTTATTCCTCCAAAATTCTGGGCCTGGATTCATGTAAAGTCCTGATAGAACCTTGGAGGAGCATTCATATTAGATGGACTACTTCTATTGGGTGGACTGTGTAAATGTCAACAATGGGAGTGATTGGCCAAAATAATAAAATATACCTTCTGGAGTATCCTCTGCTAGTTGGCCACAATCTACCCTGAATCTCCACTTTGTTGTGAGTGATGGGTGATCGTTTTATGATGGGATTAAGTCATTGGCCTATAGCACTGATTTTCAAGTGTCAGCATGTATAAGAATCATTAGGAAGGGACTGTTAAAACAAAGATTACTGGAACCCACCCCTGGAATATCTAATTCTGTGTGGGATCCAAGAATCAGCATTTGTAACTAGTTCCTATATGATGTTGCTGGTACAGAGACCACATTTTGAGAACCACTGGTCTACCACAGGGGTTGGTAATTTTTTTCTATATAGGGCCAGATGGTAAATGTCTAAATATTTTGGACTTTCAGGGCCACAGATGTCCTTTGTTGCTGAATTT